ATTGGTTTATTAGTGTAATATATATGATAATTGATTGTAAGGGATGTAAATTCCTCTATTTAAATTGGAGTTTCTTTAGGCACGATGTTTTTCCACTCAACTCCACAAGAATTTAGAAAATGCCAAATAATGAGCCTGTAAACTTCACGTCGCCATCAAACATACTACCAAATTTTCCTGGGACCTCGTTCGCCATGAACAGTGGTATTTGAAGGATTTTTGAATGACCTATGATTCCTCGAGCAGGTGAATGACCTGCAAAACAGCTTGGGGGGTTGTCACGGCGTAGAAGCTCCAATGTTTAAGTCAATAAACAGTGATAGAGAAGACGATGAACAATATCAACTTTGTATAATTGTATGTATAAAAGAAGAAGACAATGAACAATTTGTATAATTGTGTGTATATGAAAGTTCCATGCATGTGAACAAACTACCACCATTAGCACATCATTGTTGAAGCACACCTTTGAAGAATTCTCATCAATGGTGGCCATCACCAACCTTCCCATTTCACACCATTTTTGTCAATAATGGTGTGCCATCTTGTATCTATAAATAGAGTGCTTCTTTCATTCATTCAAATCATCCTTGAGTGATCAATCAACCTTGAGAGTGTTGAAACACAACCAAGAAAGAGTTGTGGAGTGTTTGAGAGTTTTTTGTTTAGAGTTTGTAAATCTCTTGTTTTTATTCTTGTGAGTAATAGAAACTTGTTTTTTCTCTCAAATTATGTTTATGATCTTGGGATGATACCACAACAGTATAAAAGAGTGTGTAGAGTATAAATGATTATACATAATTCTTTTATATAAGAGTGTTACCTTGTTTCCGCCAAGACCGCCCGACTTGGCTGCCCGAGTATCCGGGCTGTCAGGCAGTACCCCGAACTGCCCAGTTCGGTTAATCCACGTGTCCTTCCCATCTTAATTACGTTTTCTATTATGTGATGTTTTTACGTTAGCCTACTTCATTAGATGGTCTAATCATGCTACTATATCGATTTCCCCTCCGGCTTGCAACAATATGCTTATCTTTAGGTTGTATATCGACGGTCAATTTTCCATCAGGCTAGTCCAGAGCCCTAGCTCGAACAGTTGACTGGCTATCTTACTTGTAAAGTCACTATCGACTTGGTGCATCGTAGACTTCTAATCGTGCTACCTGCTCGGTTTCCCTTGAACTAGGTTTCTCCGACCTGCGCAGCGAATAAGCTTATCACTTAGTTCGTATATCGACCTGCAAACCTCCAAGTCAAGTTTCCATCAGACAATAAGGATGTCAGAAGTCGTCGAAGCATCAGGTCGATGGTGACCCTACAATTAAGATAAGTCGCAAACAGGTTGAAGAGAAAATGATTGAATTAATGTTGAGTTAAATTTTGAGTGGATTAAGTATGAAATGAAATATATTGATAATATTTTGAGTTAATATTTTTTTTTTTTTGGTACAGAGACCTTCCGGTTTCCGGATCCACAGGGGAATCGACTAATCCGTAGTCGAGTCGGGTAGAACCACAAGAGCGGCAAAACTCTCCCTCAAGAGTTTTAACACTGCATAATATTTAACAAGTATATTTTTACAATATTTGAATTTTCCGTATTTAGTCATTTTGCTAGGTCAAAATGTTGAATTTCCATAATCTACTGATATTCGCGTTTTTAGTATTTTATTATCAAATAAAAAATATATCATAAATAATAAAATCTACTTATCTAAATCTACATTTTTTCATCTCTTTCGTAAATCTTCAAATTTGTTAAAAATAAAATTTTCAAAAAATACTTACAATAATAGTGATTTTATTATTTTTTTTGGTTAACAATAAAAAACCGTAAAAAATGTTCAAGTTTCCATAAACTACTAATATTAGTGTTCTTAGTATTCTCTTTAGTCAACTAAAATATATCATAAATTTATTATAATTTACAATATAATATAAAATTATTATTATGTTTTATGAAAAGCTAAAGTTGAATTTGTATAAATTTGTTAGCGTCTTCCTAATTTGATCTATACTTAAATATTAAAAAATAATATTTCTTTTAAGAATATTTACAACTATTGATTTTTATCACATTTTTTCCAGCAAACTTTATAATGTGAATGAGAAGGCACCTCATAAACCTACATCTATATCCATCCATGTATTATTATGGAAAAAAAAGTCTATTAATCAATTTTTTATTTTTTTTTCAACTTTTGTATTACTAAATAAGTCAGTATTTTAACCACTTATATAATTCAATACTTATTAGTCATTTTTATCAAATTTTTACACATAAAATAATAAATTAATTATTTTTTTTTAATTTTTACACAAAAAATAATAAATTAATTATACTTATTAATTTTTTTTTAGTAGTCACCTACTTTATCTTGCTATTTCCATAGGCTATAAGAATTTTGATGCGTGCAGCTTTACAAACATAGAGAAATTAGTATGTATAACTGCTAAGTACTTGCATATCTTGAATAAAATGTTATGTGCTTGCTTGATTTATTTCTCTCAGAACATTAGATTCTAAGAGAAATTGACAAGTATAATTTTTTTTTTTTTTTTTTGGTACAGAAACCTTCTGGTTTCCGGTTTCATTGGGGAACCGACTAATTCGGAATCGAGCCGCGTAGGACCACAGGGTATAATTTTGTCTTTAATTGCATACTAGAATAAATAAACAGTTCCTCTCTCAAACAACTCTTGAAAATATGGGCTTGTGGAGTAGATGATTATTATTATTATTATTATTATTATTATTATTATTATTATTATTATTATTATTATTATTATTATTTAATAGGTGTTTTAGAGAATAAGTTAAGAATTTAATATTATTGTTTAATATTTATTAAAAGATCTTGTCTTGTTGGGTAAGTTAAGATCTAAGGTTAGGATAGGAGCCTTATTTAAAAGACTTTTCTACTTCGTTATGAGATAATTGATATATTTAATGAATAAAAAATAATTTGATTGTGAGTTTTGCGTGTTTTACGAGATAGTATCTCGTTTACTCGTTTTATCCTTCTCACTCGTACGCTTCTCTACATCAGCTTCTTTGATTTTGTTGATGCCTTGAAGAACTTGCTTCACCTTGTTGCATTCTTTTAATATTCTTTTAATATTGATATGGGCTTGCTTGATTTTGTTGATGCCTTGAAGAAAGAAACTCTACTGCTAAAGCCAATCCGTATAACTCCTGTATTCAGTTGCCGTTGGTCAAACAATACCATATCTTGTCGTCCTATAACAAGGAACACTTCTTTAACTCAAGAGCAAAAGCTCAGTGGTAACAGCAAGGCAGAGGAACTACAATTCATTTACCTATGATATGAGCCTGTACTCCTATGTTAGCAAAGGACTTCACTTCCAGATCCAAAGCGAAAGGTACACAGAACACGAACCAATCTTGATAATAATAATTCAACTCGTTTTTATAATATAACAAGTAAAATGTAAGACTATCCTTGTTCAGAAAATATGCATCCTTTCGAGGCACAACACAAGTAGCTCAAGTGAAATCACCATCATCTTTTTGGACATAATAATAATATAGCACAGAACTTCCAAAACAGATCCATAAAATGATCTCGAAATACTGATTAACCCCTTGCTACAGCTTAACTACTGCAAAACAATGTTCTCACTTCATTCAATTTTACCAGCCCACTACGAGGCACTACTGAGCGACTTTGTTCTGCCAATCAAATCTTCCAAATTCTTGACCACAGTCCCCATATCCGGTCGACAGGTCCAGTCCAGGTTCGCACACGACATTGCCAAACCGATGATACCAGATTTAGTGTGCTCATCTACCTCAAAACTATCGCTCACGGTTATAATTTCTCCATCTTTAATTTGTTTAATCCAGATGCCATCAGTCCCTTGTTTCTTACAGATCAGATTCAAAAGTAGAATGCCGTATGCAAACACATCTGATTTCATTGACCATTTACGTTCTGCACAATTAAAAAAAAAAAAAATGTGACTTCAACCAAAAATTCAAAATACAAATTCCAAAGGACCAAGATATATTAAAATTTATAAAGCTTCATAGGATCTAAAATGGAATACACGTGGGAACTAAAAGTTATGGGTATAGCTGAGAAATAGGGTATCCTACATGGTTACCTTAGCATAGCAATTAGACACAAAAGTTATAAAAACAAAAAATTATAATTGCTTAAATGGGGAAAATCAAATTTTCTCAATATTCCATTAAATTGCAATCCCGCATAAACTATAAATCATGCTTTCAATCTCCCTGTTTTATCATTTAATATTGAATAGAAAACACGGAAGATACGACATACAAATGAAACTTGCATCAAATGCATGGCTTTCGTGACAAAATTATCAAAAGGTTAATCTCGAACATCGCAAATGAATGCACATGTTCAAAGCTTCGTGCTACAATCGGAAGTTATCTAGCAAGACCAAGCAAGTAAAACTAAGGCATATGCAATCCACCAAACCATATATAGTAGAAAAAAAAAAAACAAAGAACAGAATACCGACTCACGCAAGTTTCACATGAGTACTGATATAGACACTTATAATTCTTCACATTCATGGCTCAACAACTTTGGCACCTGAATCTCTCTCTCAGCATTATATGTGGAGACTTTTACTTTGTCAATGTGAAATACAAATAAAACGTAAGGGTTCATATTCAAATTGCAAATAATGCATTTAGGGAGCTGGTTACGACTACAAGTGTAATCAACTGTTGGTAAAACAAACAGATGTATGAAAACGGCCCAGAAAGGGCACACCAATATGATAATATACCTGTATATTCGTAAATCTCCGGACCAATATACCCAAAACCATCAAATACGCATTGAACCTCAATCTTCTCATCCTTGTTTTTTACACGTTGATGAAGACCAAAATCAAAGAACTTGGCATTCGAGTCCTGCAACAAATCCAGTAACTCAACAGGAGTGATTGAAAAAATCCTTCTAAAAATGAATAAAGAGGCTAGGCACGTGGCATATATGTAACATGAAAATGGCTGACGGAATTTGAGTGCGAACCTGATGATCGAAGATTAAGTCCTTGGCATCAATATCCCCATAAATGATCAGATTTTCATGAGATAATTTTAAGACACGGCCAAAATCCATAGCCACTTTCATACGAGCATCCCATCCAAAATCGTCTGCAACAAGGAAGAATATTATTAATAACAGGTGCAAGTACACATAAATAGAATGGCAATCGTTAGGAGCCCTACCGGAAGCGAGGAGTTCGTGGACACTTGTTTTCGGATCAAGATCAAGCACAAATGCCAACTTTCTTTCACAGCTATATCCAATCAGTTTGACAAAGTTGGGATGAGATTTAATCAAGGGGTCTCTGAGAAGCACAATTACATCCTATGAATGACAACAACATCAACACACATTTTTACTCTTGATTGTAAACTAAATTCTGATGCAAAAAAATCAAGTGAATTAGTACTACTCTGCAAGAACAATTAGGAAAATGATAAAACAAACAACTGAGCAATATATTATTATTATTACATGGAGTCTAGGCGGTGTTAGATGTGAAAATAATCTAAAAGGAGAGTAAACATCCAAAGTTTTGACAGCCAATTTCCTGTTATTGTAATCCCTGGCCTTAAACAATCGGCCATGACGAGCCCGACAGAATAAGTTGTCCTCACTGTATCCATTAGTGAAGTCGCGGAGCTCTGCATCACTATAATGTTTCACATCCCCGAGATCTATCCCTTTCAATTCCCTACCAATTTGAACGAATAAGAACAATTGAAAAATAAGAAATATGAATGAATTATCAGTGGTAGCATATAACTGACATGCTCCTCCAACTACTCATCCAGCCCTCCAAGAGATTGGAGCACTTGGCGTTCTTTTCGATATCCAACATAGAGGGTAATATGGTCAGATCTTTGATCTGCTCCAGGAAGCTCGCGATTTTCGCTTCCTCTTCCTCTTTGTCAGCTGCTGCTGCTGATCTACGCTCCTCTTCCTTACCTTCTTTTGAGTGCAACATCTTACTCCTTGCAGACGCCATACCTTAGAGAAGAGTTAATTTTGTCGAGGAAGAAAATGGTTTTTTGAATCTATCTATATATATGTACAATAACAACTATTTACTAAAAATAGTAGCGGAAAGTTATGCGTTAGTTAGTTAGTTATACACAATGTATATATATAGTGTTTGTCTTTTTGGAATGGAAGTTGTTCATTGAACTTTGTAAATGTTATGTAAAGTTGAAATATGTTTGAATTGATTTCTAAGTTCAATTGGGTGGGCATGTAAAGTCGACATAAGTTGTTTATCTAACGTGTAACTATATTCTGTTTGGGTTTTGCAACCATTCAGAATTGTGTATTATGTTTTTATATCGTTTTAATGAACTAGATCAAAATGGCTCAATTAAATTCTAGTACTTCTTCTATTAGTGAAGTTTTTAGAAAAAAAAAATATATATATATCAAACGGCACAATGCACCTTGGGTCGCTACGGAAACAGCCTCCTTGTATAATTACAAGGGCAAGGTCTGCGTACAACTGACCCCCAGACCTCAACTTGTTGGGAATATACTGGGTATGTTGTTGTTGTTGTTGTTGTTTTTATACCGTTTTAGTATTGTTTATATGTTGTTTATTTTATGTAATGTATATATACAATATATCTAAAAATACGTTTTTGTGGTTATGAGGAAGTATATATACATTATATCTGAATTTTTTTACTTAAATTATTTGACGGAGAGAAAAGAAAAACATAAACATGAAGAGAGAAACGTATGGATAAAGAAACGTATCAGATTTGGTGCGTTGATTGCGGGGGTCATCATGTCATGCTTATTTATGGAGAGAAAATCTCCTACTAATGAAATAAAAATCACAAAATAATTCTGTTTTGATTAATGTTTGGAATGGACATATATGTGTAAATATATATACATGAGGCTACATGTACATAATTTTCCCATAATATAAAGGTGAGCGTGTTGACATACGTGCTTAAAAGTTGTTAATCTTAAGCGAGCGGGGCGGCGTGAGCAGCCCATAAGATCCCCAACCTCTACCCATCTCACTCTTACCCAAACGCCTAGCTGGGCTGAACGGGCTCCCACACCCATGGCCCAAACTACACTCATACTCACCCGGCCCATCCCCGCCGTCCATTTCCGCCAAGATCCTCCAAAAGAGATCAACCTCACATGGAATGAGCAAAGGGCCCCCGCTTTCAAAACCATACTCCAGCTCAGCATCTTCAAGCAGCATCCTGAACAGAGGGTGGCTGGCCGACTCGGCCCTCACCACAAACCGCTGCTTATCGGGCCCCACGTAAACCGAGAAACACCCTCTCGGTGTATTGTTTTTCATCTTTTTGTGGCGTTTGTTCTCCACCGGCGTTCGGCTGTGCCACGATCGGCTCTTTGAAAACACGTCTTGATTTTTCCGGGTTAGAAGTCTCCCGAGCTTCTTGAGTACCGGATTTTTCCGCTTGTCGTGTGGGTTTTCGACTTCCATCGTTTATGATATTAACAAGAAATTAAAATGGTAAAAATGGTTTTGTAGGCTAAAATGGTAAAATGGTTTTTTTTTTTCAACCTCTATCGTAGGCTAAATTGAGCATGCACCTCATTCTTGGTTTTGTAGTGTTGATCATTATTTACAAGGAAAAAAAAAAAATGTTTATGCTATTGTTTGATGATGAGGTTCAATTTTTTTGGCAAGTGTTTGGGACTCGTATATATAAGGACTGAGATGCAATTTTTGTCAACTATAGATGAACTGATTTATGAATTTGGGTGTCTACTTAGGCAGGTAATACGTGCTGATTTCAACGCTTCAAGTTACGTGAAAAAAAAAATAGCTAAAAATTAAGTACTGGTTGGATATATTTAATTATATATCTACTTGTCAATTTTCTTTGATAATTGGTGTTTAATTTTATAAGATAATTTTTATAATTCCACTCGAATTGGGAAAGTCAAAGTGCAACAGTATACGAAAAAGTTATAAAATATTGATGAATGTCGATGATCTATATATCTAGTGTAAATAAAATAAAATAAAATAAAATATGGATTGAATAGTACATTTTTTTCAAAGTTTTTTAATGACGTCAAATATCTGATATGCAGCCACCTACTAGTACACAAATTTTTGGGTTAGCTTAACAACAGCAGTTATATTTATTTATACTAATAAATATCATATTATATATATTTTAAATATATTGCTTAAGTATAAAATAAATAAATAAATTAATTTTGTACCAAAATAAATAAATAAATTAATTAATTAAGTTTGGAAAAATATGGTTGCTAGCTTAGTCATTACTCATACATAATTTAGGGAACGACTAAAATCTCGTTGACGGAATGATTCCGCCACGATTTATTATTTGTAGATTATTCACACAACATAAATTACTTTTTTTTATCCAATGGTGGAAAACGCTAACGGTATCGTCCCGGGACCTTAGCATTTTCCCATAATTTAACCAACTTGATATTAATTAATTTCCAATCAGCAGCCGGCCATTGGCCGCCAATTGGCTACAAGACAGTAAAAATGACATGAACAAATAAACATATGCTAAAAAAAAGTCCAACATGTCTAATTCATGCACCTATATACACTGCAAATTGACTGAATATGACAATTGGTAATTTAGAGTAAGTGAGAGCTAATATGTTTATTATCTTCATTAATGAGTGAACTCTTTCGATTTAATTACATAAAAGTCCCTAAAGTAGTTTGCGTAATAAATAATTAGCCCACCAATAATAAATGTAAGAAACTGGGGGAAAAGGAAAGCCCATATGAAGCCCAAATGAGGTTCCATCCCAAAACCAATTGGTGAAAGGAGGAGTAGCCCATTAAACTTATTAAGTGGGTCTATTTTCCATGTATTAACAATGTGGGACAACTCACAAGTGATATTCTAACAATAAACTTGTGCGTACGTACCTAGTCGGCCCATACGTGATATGGACCAAAATTGTCTCATCTAAAATATGCAATTATTGGAGTATTACATCATTCAAATCATACCTTTTTTTTTGTTTTTTTTTTTAAGCAAATTAACGCATTTATTTATTATATTTGCCATAAGTCAAATGTTGATGTCCACTAGTTAATATCTTCATGCTAGAAATAGTCTATATACTCGAAATTATCCTATCTGAAGAAGAAACAGGGGATAGAAGGTTGCGGTTACACGAACGTGAACCACACTAAAACAGGGTGAGTTTAGATGGGCATTAGTAGAGTTCTATTCTAAAACCAATTGTTGGTATGAGGAGTAGTCGACTAAGTTTATAAGTTAGATTTATTTTCTCTGTATAGATGATGTGAAACAACTAGCAAGTGTATATTCTAACACTATCAAAGATTCAAAATGCTACTCATATAGCAGCTGAAACATTATTTAGGACATAACCATTATTTAGGCCACAACATTAAAATCATGGAAGATGCTACGGTCCCGTTACGGAATTATTCCGTTGGGATTTGTAACCATTAAATCAACTATCTCTGACGGTTACATGATGATCTAACGGTTACAAACTCCGACAGAATGATTCCATAACGGGATCTTATCATTTCCCTAAAATCATATACATCTCATACAAATTATATCAATCATGTACATCTATCTAACACGTCCTTAATTAATTACAATATGCATGCACCCTAATTATAAACATGGAAACTGATGCAGAAGCGTAGCAGATGAAAGGGGAAGAACACGATAAGAACTAACAATCTGATGAATTCAATAATAATCTGTCCTCATAATAGCGTAGGGTACAGATTTTATAATGTTCCAACTTTCCTAAGCCTTCTAAACTTGCCTAACAAGCTAGGTCAAGTTATTTATTTAAATACCAAAACAACTTAAATAATTAGAAAACTAGATAAAAGGATAAATAATAAATAAGACGTAAATCAACTAGATACGAAGCCGGTCGAATTTATCCAGGAAAGCTATCGCGGCCTCGTCTCCATCATCCTCCCCCGGTTGGGAAGGATTCGGCCTCGAATCCAAAGCGGCCTCGTCATCCTCGGAATTATCACCCACAAACGGCACGAGGTGTTTGACGTTAAAAACGTCAGAAGTGCGAATGTGAGAAGGAAGGCGGAGACGGTATGCATTGGGGTTGATCTTCGCAACAATCTCAAGAGGTCCAATTTTCCGAGCCGAGAGCTTGTTGTACTCATGTGCCGAGAACCTGTCCTTCGTCAAAATAGCCCACACAAAATCGCCAACTTCAAAATCCACATGACGACGGTGCACATCGGCCCGCCGCTTATAAGCGGCCGTGGTCTCCTCCAAACGCGCACGGGTCGACGCGTGAATGGCCCCCAAATCGCCGATCATATCCACGGCCCGCTTGTCAGCCGACGACATATCTGGAACCGGCGCCAAGTCCGCCGGGCCGCGGGGCTGAATCCCGTACACAACAAGAAACGGGGAAAAGCCAGTCGCCCTACTGACAGCCGAATTGTGCGCGAATTCAGCCTGGCTCAACTTTTGATCCCAGCTACGAAGGTTATCGCCAACTAAACAACGCAGTAAGTTGCCCAATGAGCGATTCACGACCTCGGTTTGGCCATCGGTCTGCGGGTGATAAGCACTGCTAAAGTCCAAACGAGTATGTGCTAAACGCCAAAGACTACGCCAAAAATGGCTCAAAAATCTGGTGTCCCGGTCCGACACAATGGACGAAGGAAGGCCATGTAAACGATAAATCTCCCGGAAAAATAACTGAGCCACATGGACGGCGTCGGTGGTCCGCTTGCACGGAATGAAATGCACCATCTTGGAAAAGCGATCCACCACGACAAAAATCGAATCAAAGCCACGTTGAGTACGCGGCAAACCCAAAACAAAGTCCATACTCACCGCTTGCCAAGGGCGAGAAGGGATCGGTAGAGGCCTGTACAACCCAGCATTAGTCGCCGAACCCTTGGACACCTGGCAGATGCGACAACGCGACACAAAACGGGTGACATCACGCCGAAGAGAGGGCCAAAAATACGACCGGCGCAGCAGCTCGACCGAACGGTCACGACCGACGTGACCAGCCCCATGCAAATCCGCAATTAGCTTGTGCCGCAAGCTACAAGCCGGAACGCAAAGTCGAATACCACGAAACAAAAACCCATCATGAAGAGCATAATCATCCCAAGGTCCGGTCGCTAGATGTCGCAAAATAGGCCCGAAAAAAGGGTCGCCACTATAAGTATCACGCAATACCTCAAAGCCGACGACGGACACACGCATATCGGTTAAAAGCAATGCACGACGGCTTAGCGCATCCGCCACCCGATTAGAAGACCCCGAGCGATGCTTCAGGACGAACGTGAATTGTTGCAGGAAGGCTGCCCACGATGCATGGCGAGCAGAAATACTATCCTGGGAGGCCAAGTGCCGCAGAGCGTCATGGTCACTGTATAAAACAAACTCCCGATGAAAAAGATAATGTCGCCAATGGCGAACAGCGCGTACCACCGCATAGAACTCCACGTCATAAGTACTGTATCTCGAGCGCGGGCCCGAAAGTTTCTCGCTGAAGAATGAAATGGGTCGTCCCTCCTGACTCAAAACCGCTCCGATGCCTACCTTGGAGGCATCACACGAAAGCTCAAAAGGACGCTCAAAATCAGGCAACACCAGTATAGGGGCCGAAGTCAGCCGCTCTTTAATGAGAATGAATGCCTCCTCGGCCGCCGGAGTCCATGTAAATGTCTTCCCCGTGAGGCAGTCAGTAATCGGGGCCGTCAGAGAACTGAAGTGGGAGATAAACCGGCGATAAAAAGAGGCCAGCCCATGAAAACTACGAGCCTCTGTAAAAGATGTAGGCGTCGGCCACTCACGAATAGCTGTCACCTTGCTCTCATCCACTCGAATACCAGCGGCCGAAATCACAAATCCCAAGAAAAGGACGGAGTCGACCAAAAACAAACACTTCCTGGGCGCCGCAAAAAAGGACTCGTGACGCAGAATAAGCAAGACGGAACGAACATGCTCCAAGTGATCAGCAATGGTACGACTGTAAATAAGAATATCATCGAAATAAACGACGACACACTTACCAATTAACTCCCGCAAAGACTGATTCATCACCCTCATGAAGGTGCTGGGTGCATTAGATAGGCCGAACGGCATAACCAACCACTCAAAAAGGCCCTCGCGAATTTTAAAAGCTGTCTTCCACTCGTCCCCCGGCCGGATGCGAATCTGATGATAGCCACTGCGGAGGTCCAACTTCGTGAAAACGGTCGCACCATGAAGCTGGTCCAGTAGATCATCCAAACGGGGAATCGGGAAACGATAACGAACAGTGATCTTGTTGATTGCCCGACTATCCACGCACATCCTCCACGAGCTATCTTTCTTGGGAATAAGCAAAGCCGGAACCGCACAAGGGCTCAAACTCCGGCGAACAACGCCCCGCTGGAGAAGCTCCTCCACCTGTCGTCGCAACTCCTCGTGTTCCCGAGGACTCATCCGGTAATGAGGTCTGTTGGGTAGAGCTGCCCCTGGAACCAGGTCGATATGATGTTGGATGTCGCGTAAAGGTGGCAACCCTGCGGGGATTTCCTCGGGAAAAACGTCACTGAACTCAGCGAGCAATGGTCGAATGGCGTCAGGTGGCTCGCTATCACACCCGGTGTCCGTCCCTAATAAAAGTAACACGAAAGGGGCAGAGTGCATCTCCAACTCAAAGGCAGCCCGAGAAAGAAAAAGAACCGGCGAAGGCGCCGAAGCCGGCAAAGGCCGTGGTGGTCCCGGGTGTAAAACCACCTTAACACCTCCAAAAAGAAAGCTGTAGGTGTTAAGTCGACCATCGTGTGTAGCAGCACGATCGTACTGCCAAGGGCGGCCTAGAAGCAGGTGGCAAGCATCCATGGGGACCACGTCACACCAAATCTGATCACGATACCGGGGCCCAATGGAAAAAGACACCAAAACGCGCCGGTCCACGGTTACCGCCGTCCCTTTCTGGATCCAGGCTAGAGTATACGGCTGAGGGTGTGGTTCCGTGGTAAGCCCGAGTTTCTCCACAGCTTCCTTAGCAAAGACATTCTCGCACGAGCCCGAGTCGATAATGAACCGGCAGACGCGATCACCTACCGTACAAGTGGACTCGAACAAATTATGGCGCTCCACCGGTGTGCTCGAATCCCGCGGTGACAAGCACGATCGCCGAAGAACAAGGGCCCGGCCAACGTCACCCGTGAGGTGCTCTTCGACAACTTCGGGCTCATCATCAAAAACAGGTGGTCCGTCGAACAAGTCCCCAGTGTCCGGAAACTCGCGGTCCTCGGCAAATAAATTACGCGAACCTGACCCCCGCGGACACGCACTGTATCGATGGCCCACTTCGCCGCACCCAAAGCAACGGAACCCGCCACCAGTCCGCGCAGCCGTCGAACCCGACCCTGTCGTGTTTGAAGAACCCAGGCCCAAAGTTCCAGCCCTGCCCGAACCTTGGCCCGTGGACGAGAAACCCGCAGCCTGTCCAGGACCAATCCCACGGCCTGAACCTGTTGGCAGCGCCCCAACACCACCCCGCTGGCCCGGCACCAAACCCGACGAGGACCGACGAGCTTGCTGTTGTTCCACCATAAGGGCCCGTTGATGAGCATCGGAGACCGCGTCCGGGACAAACAAGTTCAGCACGTCCTGAATGGACACCCGCAACCCGCCAATATAACGCGAAACCAATTGGTCCTCCGTGTCGCGTACATCAATGCGTGTGAGGAGTCGATAAAATTCCTCGGTGTACTCATCCACTGTGCGAGACCCTTGCCTCAAATTTTGGAATTTCTGATAAATCGTACGCCGATAATTGAAGGGCAAGAATTCCTGCTCAAGATGTTTTTTGAATTTTAGCCAAGATGTAATTTTCGACTTACCCATGCGATGCCGCTTCGCCTTAAGCTGCAAGAACCACGCCGCGGCTCGTCCCCGCAATCTGGTGGCGACAAACTCCACCTTTCGGTCCTCTGGAACATTCTTGAAGTCGAGGATCGACTCCACAGCAGCAAGCCAATCGAGAAACTCCGCGGCGTCGAGCCCGCCCGTAAATTCGGGAACATCGATCCGAAGCCCTAACTCCCAGCGATTATCGCCGCAGTCCCCCGCGCGACGCTCCCCGCGAGGCATCTCCCAGGCTCCATCGTCTCGGTGAACAGAACGGTACTCGCCTTGGTCGTCTCTACGATTTTCCCGTCCGTCGCCAAAAGGGTTGACATCGGAAAGGGTATCCTCGCCGTCCGGTGACCGTGGCGAACGCGGTCGATGCCCATCGACCGGCCCTCTTCCGCCACGACCTGCACGCCCTCCGCCGCGTCCACCCCGGCCCGTGGAATCGCGGTTCGTCTGGTCGCCAAGCATAAGAGTTCGAACGGCATGTCGGATTTCCTCAATCCCCTCAGAAAGACCCTCAACGCGGCGATCCACTCGCTCGATTTGGAACCCTAGATCGTCAGTGCGGCAATCCAAATCCTCGAGATGGGCATCCCGTCGTTCGTTGTCATTTCGTTTTGGCGGCATCTTGAATCGTCCCGACAGCTGATACCAACTGATGCAGAAGCGTAGCAGATGAAAGGGGAAGAACACGATAAGAACTATCAATCTGATGAATTCAATAATAATCTGTCCTCATAATAGCGTAGGGTACAGATTTTATAATGTTCCAACTTTCCTAAGCCTACTAAACTTGCCTAACAAGCTAGGTCAAGTTATTTATTTAAATACCAAAACAACTTAAATAATTAGAAAACTAGATAAAAAGGATAAATAATAAATAAGACGTAAATCAACTAGATACGAAGCCGGTCGAATTTATCCAGGAAAGCTATCGCGGCCTCGTCTCCATCACCTAGTTATGATGGTGGAGAGAAGAAAGTGATTGTGGCACGTTGAGAGCTTGCCTTTGGGGGGTGAAACAGTCAATGTGAGTCGTTTGTACTCGCAATTTATGTGTTTGTATTTTTGTGTAAGAGATCTGAAATAATGCACCAAAAAAGGGAATATTCATCATCTTTGCGAAAAAAAAAAAACATATCACGTTTGTAGGTGGGACAATTGATCGTGTCAATATCTTGTTCAGCCTGTTTTTCTGAATGTTTATCAGTCTGGATATATAATTATATATGTCGCCTCCCCAAGTCCTTTTCTCCTTCTCTTTTGTCCCCCCTTAAATAAATACAAAAAGAAAAATAAAATGAAACAAAATATAAAAAGAGAGATAAAATTGGCCGTGGTCATGTAGGGAAATTTTACATTCCCGTTACGGAATCATTCGGTCGAGATCATCTAACGGTTACAAATTCGATGGAATGATTCTATAATGACTGTAACATTTCTCGATCATACATTCACACCGGCCAATTCTTCTTGAATCTAAAAAGTCCTCTATGCAACAAAAAGTTAAGTCTTTATTTGGTAAATAGTATAGAATTAACAATTTTGAACATCTATGCTTATATAAAAAGGTATTCTATTTACTAGAATTAGTAGTAAGAAAAGACAAAGGTAATTAATTCATTCTATTTCCATCAAGTTTTTTATTTAATTATTTTAGTTAATTGTTTTATCTCATAACATCTTTTTAATACAACTTAACATGATTTTTCTATTGTGATTAAAAACTAAATTTTACGTTTAAAATCTTGTGAAATTATTATTATTATTTTTATAAAGCACATATTATTTGTTAAAAAAATATATATATGTATAATACACATCGAAGTACCATGATAGATGATTTAAATTTCAACCAACCAAAATTTCAATGATTTAAATTTGAACACACATATGCGTTTGACCAAATGTCTGGATAATTTAAAATTGAGCTCATCAAAAAATATTTAAATTTGAACACACTAGAAATTTTATGTACTTTTTATTTATAAATATATTGAAAGTGGTAGTTAATGGTTGTTATATAAACTACTTTAATATATTTGCAATGAATAAAAGTTTGAATGAATAATTTGTAATGTTAATCATAATGTTTGTGACTTATGAGACACGAACACATAACTCCATACATATTTGCCAGAAAACGGCTTAATAATTTTTTAGACTTAATGTTGATTAAAAGAGATAGAAAATAAATAATAACATTATTACTTTTTAGATTTAAACAGACAAAGTTGTGAAAATAACTCATTTATGCACGCACTAGTAATACTTTCAACGTAGACATACATTCCACATTTCAACAAACATTTATTGCAGAAAGCTAATTTAAATCACCAATCAACATAATAATTCCCAATATTATACAACATTGGTGTGCTAGTGTTTGAAACTGTAAAAAAAGATCAAAACACTAGAAAATCACTCTTTTAGTCGCAATCTGACATCTTTAGTTATCAACTTAAACAAACAAGAAAGCTATATGAATAAATAAGAACTCCAGATTGTATTAAAAGGCCCATACTATATTTATTGTCCATTCCCATGCCTAAGCCCAACAGGTAAATCACAAACAACAGAGCAAATTATAACATCAACAGGCTTTAATGTTGGGCCTCGAACTAGAAGGCCCATTAATCTTGTCTCCACAGTCTTGCCCACTCCTCAAGCCCAACGCAATCAGAAACTTGCTGTTATTCACAGACGCCGGTCTCATCCCCTCACAACCGTGGTCCGCCGGAAATCTGTGCCTCAGGCAAATTTTAATCCGGCAATTCTTACACGTGGCGGTGTTTGAGACCGTTAACACCTGCCGGCACCTCCTGACGGGGCAAGTCGGTTTCTTCTTCTTTTTCGGGTCGCACTGACCCGACTTCTCGTGCCTCTCTAGAATCTTCTTCTCGTCTTCACTGTCGCGTCCCGTGGTCTCTACTGCGGAGGAGCAGATCTCGCACACCACGACCTTTCGGCTGCCGGCGTCAGAGTTGGGGCAGCCGTGCGATTTGTACGATCGATGGTCCAAACAGAAAACCTAATCCCCAAATAAAATCAATTAAAAAACGAGCATCGATGAGAACTCGAACAATCGGTTCAAAATTAAACCTAACCCCAATAAAACAATCAATTAGTTAATAATAGCTTATTTGTTAAACTTGTAGGATTTTTTTTAGCTTTTCGAACTTAAAACCAACTTACTCCAATTATACAATCAGAGCATATCCTCTAATTTTAGGAGCTACTGCATAACCATTATGTCCGAGTTTCTAATATGATGATCTAGCGGTTACAAATGTCGACGGACACGGACGAAACCTTAGCATTTCCCAATACTATAAATTAACTTATCAGCGACATAGATAGTTGTTCAATTAGATTTACCAAACATGCATAAGAAAACGTGCATCGATGACAATTCAATCAATTGGTTTGGAATTAAATTTGATGTTTGATAAAAACCGTTGACCCCAAAACAACAATCAACTGAAAATGCGCATAGATCATCGATTAGTTCAAAATTAATGAAGAACAAAAAAACTGATATGCACCTTCCGGCAGGCGTTGCAGGTGAACGGGAGGAAATCTAGCCGGCGGCAATCGGGATTTTCACAGTGGCTTCCTAAATCTGGGAAAGCTTCAGTTCCTCCTCCCATCTCTTTGATATGGATTTGATTAAAATTTTTGTTTGTTTTTTTTTCAATTTTCGTTTGGATTTGAGATTTTTTTTTCCTTTTATTTGCTGATTGTGGGATTTGAGATTTTTTTTGCGTAATGTGTGTATATATTATGGAGTTGGCTTCTTGTCGAAGCCATAGTTGGAAGGTAGTTTTTGTGTTGGGATTTCTTGGGCGGGAGGAAACAGAAACACAGAAGGAAACACGTATTGTATTTGCGACGCGGGTCGGCCGACAATGACCCGCCTTAAAACGGGTATGGATAATGGGTCGTAGTCCCATCTTGATTATTCTAGAAGCTTGGGTCGGTGAAACATGGGCTCGGGCTGAAAAAGGGATAATTTGGGCCCATTTGACTAGGCAGGCATTTGTGTGCTCTAATAAAGAGGCCCAATGGTCTTGACAAGCTAATTAGTCTAAAATTAGTATACTTTTAATCACAAAAAAAAAAAAAAAAATTGGAAACATAAGTTGGATCGGTGGTTGATTGATGATTATTAATGAAGGAATCAATATATAGTGCGGCTCATCAGTTTTGTTGGTAATTTGTAGTGTTGTGGGTGCTGCTGCACAAAGTTTAATTTTAGCATGGAGTCACAAAAAAAAAGTAACTTGTATGTTATGTTTCTTAAAGCAAAGTGTGTTTGTTAAAAGGTAACTATTTATTTTTGCTACGCTTTTAGAGAAGAAAAGACAAAAAGTGAAAAACAAGAAAGTCGGGGAGTGGAATTTACCAATCAAATTCTTGGGTTGAGAGGTGTAAATCAATCTCTAATTAGACATGCCAAAACACGGGCCAGGCCCGGGCAGGCTCAGCCCAGTGGGTCGATGGGTTGCGTTTCATGGACCCTGAACCAGCACTGATTAGGTCATGGCGGGTCCATGGTCTGACCGGACTCGGGCTGGCCCAAATAAAAAAGAAAGAAAAAAAATAAAAACTATGCGTTTTTCCCGTGTCAGTCTGGATCCGGCTCGGCCCGGCGGGCTAGGATGGACAAAAACAAGGCCCTGGACAGGCCCGGTTGAAATAGGAGTCGGGCCCAGACCCGTGAACGGGTTTCACCGGGCTGGTCCGTGCGGGGTCGACGGGCCGGGTGGCCCATGACCACGCCTGTCTCTAATTAGTTGAAACTAATGGTTTTGATTGT